ACACTCGATCAGCGCTTGGAATAGTCATCCCATTTCTCCCAGGTCTTAAGGAAGAGTGGATAGGTGTCCCTCACCTGTACCGTCAGCTTGTCCATTAGGCACGCCTCCTTAATGTAGTGTATTACTCTGTCCATGAGGGGCATGTCCATCTGTAGCCAGGCCTGCGCGAGCGCCCTCCTGGCTGCCAAATTGATTTTATCTACTAATTTTTGTTCTCTATGGGTTAAGTTGTCAAGTGGTTTCGCTAAACGTCCAGGGGTTAGGTTTGATTTCCCCATTACCTCCGTCAGTAGCGCCGCTACCCTGTCCCAGTATGTCACTACCTTAGGGCATGTCCACCACATGTGTAGATATGTGCCTTTTTCTCCGCAGCCACGCCAGCATGTGTCGGAGGGCGACTTCCCCATTCTACAGAGTTTGACTGGGGTAGTGTACCAACGCATGAGCGTCTTGTAGCACTGTTCCTGATGCAGGACAAATATGGAAGCTTTTGTTGCCGCCTCCCATATGTCCTGCCATTCCCCGCTTTCTAGCGTCTGGTTAAGTTCCCTCTCCCATTGTGTGACATATGCGGGAGTTTGATCGGCCCCCTTCGGGGCAGTCATGTGTGAGTAAAGGAGGGTAATGAGGCCGCTACGTGGTCCCTCAGAAATACATAGTGTCTCAAAGAATGTGGGTCTAGCTGCCGCTCGGACAACAGAGCTCTTGGCGAAGTCCCTAAGCTGAAGGTACCTGAAGTGGTCCCTTGTGGTGAGCGTGGCTAACGTCCTAAAGTTGTCATATGTGCGGAAGGTGCCCTCGTGATATAAGTGCCCATAGCGTTGGATCCCTGTGTCTTCCAGACCCCTAAAGTCTCTAGGGCTCATACCCGGTGGGAAGGCTTTATTGCGCAAATATGGGGTTAGTGATGAGGGCCAGTGTGTTAGACCATGCTTGAGCGCCGTGGTGTCCCAGATTCGTATGGAGTTCCAGATGGCGGGGCATGTCGTGGTGAGGTCAGGTCTATCTGCCTTGGGGATCCAAATCCAGTACTGTGGGAGGTCTGTGCGCATGATAAGAGTTTCCAGGTCGACCCATCTGTGGGAGTCTGGGGGCGAGTGCCATTCAACTAGCTGCGCTAGTTGGGCGGAAAGGTAGTATTGATAGAGGTGTGGAAGACCCAACCCTCCCCTGCTTTTAGGTGTATATAGCGTAGTCCTAGCTATTCTGTGTCTTTTCCTGGCCCATATGAAGTTATCGATAGCTGTCTGCAATGGTTTCAGGTCAGTTTTAGAGACTCTCACAGGGAGCGCCTGAAATAGAAATAGAAGGCGTGGGAGCAAATTCATTTTGACTGCATGCAGTCTCCCTATCCACGAGATTGGCTTCTCGTGCCATCTGTCTAAGTCTCGGAGCAGGGTCTTAAGCAGACGATGGTGGTTCTCTGCGTACAGGTCTGTGTATTGCGTCGTGAGTTTGACGCCTAAGTATTTAATGGGTTGGTGTGAAATCTTTAGAGTTGTCGTTTGTTTTAGTGTTTGTACGTCCGCTTCTATCATGTTCAGGGGCATTCCTACCGATTTATCTAGGTTTATTTCATATCCCGAAACTAGTTGGTAAGTGTCGAGCAACTCAAGGAGGGGGGGAACCGACTCCAGCGGCTCCGTGAGGGTGAGCAAGATGTCGTCTGCATACGCAGAGACCTTAAAGCTCTCCGATGCCACTACCATCCCCTTAATGCTTGGATTGTGTCTTATCAAGTGCAATAGCGGCTCAAGCGCCAATATGAACAGTAGCGGGGACAGCGGGCAGCCTTGTTTGGTGCCATTCCGCTGCACAAAAGGGAGCGGTGATGCACCTGGCACCCGTGTCTGTACTCTGGGGCATGTGTAAAGGGCCTGGGTCGCTCTAACAAAGGTGGGAAGCGCATCTCCCTGAGGAGCTCAAACATGTAGTGCCACTGAATTCTGTCGAACGCCTTCTCCGCGTCCAGGGATAGGACCAGAGAAGGCGTATCTTTTCTTCCTGCCCACCACATCAGGTCGGTTGCTCGTCTGGTATTTTCATATAATTGTCTGGTAGGGACAAAGCCCACCTGATCCGGATGTATGAGCTTGGGGAGGATCTGGTTCAGTCGGGTGGCTAATATTTTCGCGTAGAGTTTCATGTCAAAATTAATGAGGGATATTGGGCGGTAGTTTGTCACAGACGTGCTGTCTTTGTCCGGTTTGGGTATGAGGGTTAGGTCCGCTGTCGAGAGGTCCGGGTTAGGGCTATCTTCACTTGTCCAATCGTTGTACATTTTAACTAGATGGGGTAACAATTCCTCCTGTAGGAGTTTATAATACGTCCCATCAAACCCGTCTGGCCCCGGGGCCCTCCCCCCCTTCATTACGGCGATGGCTCTGTCAATTTCGTCTAGAGCTATGGGTTCCCGTAGGAATGCAGTTTGTGTCTGCGGGAGTCTTGGGATTTGGGCGGTTGCGAGAAACGCAGCAACCTTGGCGGCGTATGCCTCGTTGTCTCCGGTCAGTGTCGGGGAGTGGTTGTAAACCCTTTTAAAGAAGTTTGTAAATTCCCTGTTAATGTCGTCGGGGTTGGTGAGAATCCTGCCCTGGGAGTCCTTGACAGCAGTAATGGTGGTGGTATTGCGTTTGGGTCGCAGGGCCTGGCCAGTAGCGTGTCCATTTTATTGGACTTTTCGTAGTATAGTCGTTTCGATCGTATCAAGTCCTGGCTTACGTCCTCTAGCATAAGTTCTCTTAACTGTCGCCTAGTCTCTTGCAGCGCCCTAGTCTTGTTTGGGACTACGGCCTGTTTATTCTGCATTTCGAGTTTACGTAGTTGTTTTTGCAGGGCGTGCAACTTTTCGTATTTTTCCCGTTTCCGTTGGGTCGATAATTTAATTAGAACCCCCCGTATGACTGGTTTATGGGCAGCCCACAGCATCGTTGGGGAAATATCCGGGGAGTCGTTTTCCTGAAAGTATTGCGTCACTTCTTGCTTAATAATATTCTGCATTTGGGGGTCCCTGAGGATGGAGGCGTTAAGTCGCCATTTCCATGGGGCATTCGGGCCCGGGTGTCTCAGGGTGAGTGCTATGTCTGCATGGTCGGACCATGAAATGAGATTTATCTCAGACGTCTTGGTCCATTGCATAGCCAACTGGTTAACCAGGAATAGGTCGATACGCGAGTAAGTCGCGTGTACTGCCGAGTAGAAGGAGTAGTCCCTCAGGCTCGGGTGTTGGATCCTCCAAGGGTCAAGAAGTCCCGTGCGTTGGATGAAGTCATTGAGCAGTTTATCTTGACCTCCTCTGTTCTGCGACCGAGGAAGGTCGCTCCCCCCCCCTCTGTCAACTGCCGGACATGGCGCTGCATTTAAGTCGCCCCCCAGGATCAGGATGCCCCTCGGTAGGGCTGTTATGAGTTGCTCAAGGTCTGACCAGAATTGTCGGGAGGGGGTATTTGGGGCATAGACATTAATTAGGTGGTAGGTATGGGCATGTAGAACGCCGGTCAGGACCACATAGCGGCCCTCTGTGTCCGTCTGTACCTTGGTAATTTGCAGGGGGCATCTTTTATGTATGAGTATTCCTACCCCATTCCGCTTGCAGAGGGCACGCGATTCGTGAGCCTTAGTGTAGATGTGGTTTGTGAGGTGCACTTTGGCCGTGCGGGATATGTGCGTTTCTTGGACTTAAGCGATATCTGCCTTCTGTCGTCTAAGCTCCCTAAGTAGGAGTCTACGTTTATTGGGGACGTTGAGACCATTCACATTAAGGGAGGTCAGTTTAAGGTCCATGTCGCCTAGTGGAGTAATGTGCCTAGGGGGTTACCTGCTATTCCTGAGGCACACCAATGACCGCTGAAGTTCTGTGTTGCTGGGGACGTCCCCACCACCGGCTGCGGCTCTAGAGGGGAGAAGAAGAAGAGAAGATCGGGTGAGAGAGAGTGAAGCACTGCGGTGGGATCGTGTATGCACAAGCACCTTCCGATACAGGGGGCAGCGAGGTCAATGCCGCTTCAATTCGTGAAGTCGGGTTGAAAACACAAGTATAAACTATATACAAAACAATCTACAAACTGCACGCAAAGGACTGCGATACAGTCAATACAACAGTCAGTAGTGCTACTGACTTTCCGGGTCTTACTATTTGCCAGGAGCTATGGGGTGGGCGTCCACCGCGTCAAGGGAATTGCCTTAAACGGGGGGGAGGTTCAGCCTAGTAGCACCCTGGCAATGCCCAAATAGTGTAATGATACAGCCCTAGTGAGGACGGCGGTCGTTCAGTGGAGTCGGTCCGCCATGGGCTAGAGAGAGCGTGTATGTGGCCCTGTGTGGAACTATTGGGGGGAGGAGTCCCAAGTGTGGCCCATCTAGGGGTTGAGTCCCTCACGGTGCCCTCTGGAGCTGGGTGCTGTCACTTTGGAGGGAGTGTGGGTCGTATTATTTCCCCCTTTCGGGGGGCGTGAAAAGGGTCAGTCAGTGGCACTCCACCGGTCAAAGGGCATTCCATGAAGCCCTGCTCCCGGAGGCCCGTCCCCCCCATACTGCAGCATGGTCCCCGGTCCTGCCGGTCCCACACCCTCTACCCCCCCACTACGTTATGGCTCCCAGGCCTGGAATCCCCTCAGCCCGTGACCATAACCTGTGGGGACGCTAGTTGTTTACTCCATGCCAGAGCGATGAGTGTGTGTCCCTTCCTTCCCTTTTTTATTAAATTAATTTTTTTTTCTTCCCTTTTCTTCCACCCCCCCCCTTCTTTCTCCCCCCTCTCCCCCCACCATCCCCCCATCGCCCCCCCCTCCCTGCTCCGGTCCCGTGCGGATAATAAGTTACCACTGTTGTGGGTGATCACACTTCGACCCCTGCCGCAGGGGGCTGGGAGTCCTGAGTACAGGCCACATGACAGGGCAGGGACCCCATTACCCCCGAAGAGTCTTTTCCCCGTGGGCCCCCCTGGGGCCAGTCCCTCCCACCAGCACCCCCACAACCATGCAGCCCCCAAACCTGTCCCAGTCCCGAGTTCCTAGGTAACCAGCAGTGTAAGATTAAACAAAGTTCAGAACCCAGTCACAATTAACTTGCGTGTGGCCTAAGTGTAAGATTAAACAAAGTTCAGAACCCAGTCACAATTAACTTGCGTGTGGCCTGGTGTAGGCTCCGATGGCGGTCCATGCTCCGCGACATCTGGTTCAGTCTTTCTGGTTCACATGGCGTTGCTTTCGGTGGGGAGCATGGGTAGCGCTGGCGGAGCAGTGGCAGGGAACGGAAAATCGTCTGGCACATCAATGTCCAAGCCTTTAAGGAATGCCACGATATCGGAGGACGGCTGGAGTACTGCAGGTTTAGGGCTGTTGAAGACCAGGATCTTAAATGGATATCCCCACGCAAATCTCAGGCCATGCGCGCGGAGCAAGTCGGTTACCGGCTTCCACTCTCTTCTCCGGAGGAGCGTGGCTGGGGCAATGTCCTGGTATAGCTGTATGACTGCGCCAGCTATTTCAAACGTTTTCGTCCTGCCGAGTCGCAGGATGGCCTCTTTAGTTTTAAAATAGTGCCATTTCATAATTACGTCCCTTGGGGGACCGTGTTTAGGGCCTCGCGCTCTGAGGGCTCTATGCGCTCTATCAATCAGCCAGAGGTGCTCAGGGATGTCAGGGAGCTGCTGTTTGAAGTACGCTGCTATAATCTCCCCCAGCTCTGCTTCTTCAACGGATTCCGGTAGGCCTCTTATACGCAAGTTATTGCGCCTCGAACGATTCGAGACATCCTCCAGCTCTAGCTCCAAATCAGTGATTTTGTGGAGCAGAGTGTTGGTGAGGGCTGAGGCCGAGTTGTGGGCTGTAACTACAGTCTCCATGCGTTTCTCTATAATGGCGGTTCTGGCCCCTATGGCCGCAATTTCGGCCTTCACTTCCGCTGCTGTGCGGGTGATTTCCCCTGCAAGGTAGCCCTTCACTTCTGCCAAAGATTGCAGAATGGCAGTTGAGGAAGCCTCCATGGGGGGGTCCCTCAATCTGGGGGGGTCACAGTGTACCTGGCCTGTGGGGCTGGAGGCCGCAGTGACGCCACGTGGTATAGGCCTCTGCGACGCGAGCATTTCCGCCACCGACGGCGCTTCTTTTGGCTGCTTTTTGGAGGGTTTGCGGCTGGACATCCATGCCCCGGCTCCCGTGTCGGAAGGTAGCTGTGGCGGCACGCCGTACTGCTCGGTGTAGTCGGGCTGTGGCTGCTGAGAGTGCTTATTGCTGGGCATTGGGTGCGGAGCTCACAGGCTATGCGGCCATCACGGTCGGCAGTCAGACCACGCCCCCCAGAAATTTACTTTTTATATAGTGGAAAGGGATCTGATATCTTAGGTCATAATGAGCTTTCATTGATTGTGAACCTTTTTGAATACAGAGGTAACTACTTATACCTTCTTGCCCTTTACACTGCGGTCCTAACTACTTCCATTTGGCATTAAGTCTTAGAGGAACACTCCAAGGACCAAAACCACTAGGCATGTGCATGGGGAAAATTTTCGGTTCGGCAGCTCACTGTTAAAAAAAAAAAAAATAGGGCCCCCCCTCCCGCGACACGCGAGTGGGGGCTTTTAAACTAAAGGGGGGACATATTTCCCCCCCGGCCCCCACTCCTGAGTGGCGGGTGGGGGCACTGAAGTAAAATGATGGGGGGGGGACCTATTGTCCTCCCCCCTGACCCCCTCCCCTGAGCGGTTGGTGGGGGCCCTAAATACTAATAAGGGGGGTGGACCTAATGTCCTCCCCCCTGAGCGGTGGGTGGGGACCCTAAATTAGAATGGGGGGGGACCTAATGTCCTCCCCCCTGGTCCCCACCCATGATCAGTGGGTGGGGGCCCTAAATACTAATAAGGGGGGAGAACTAATGTCCTCTTCATGGCCCCCACCCCTGAGCGGCGGGTAGGGGCTCTAAATTAGAATAAGGAGGAGGGACCTAATGTCCTCCCCCCTGGCCCCCACCCCTGAGCGGCGGGTGGGGGCCCTAAATACCAATAGGGGGGGACCTATTGTCCTCCCCCCCCTGGCCCCCACCCCTGGGCGGTGGGTGGGGGCCCTAAATAAAAATGTCCCCCCCCCTTTATTAGTATTTAGGGCCCCCACCCACCGCCAGGGCCGGACTGACCCACCGGGATACCGGGAAATTTCCCGGTGGGCCGCGGCACCTGGGGCTGGGCTGACAGCCTCAATCATTGCTCAGGCTCCTGTAATTCCGGCCGGCTATGCTCACACATGGCCGGCCGGGATCATAAAAAAATAAAAATAAATGCGGCGGGGCAGGGCTTAATATGCGGCGGCGGTGGAACTTACTGTGCTGCGGGGCCTGGCTAACTGCAGCATGGGAAGCAGGAAGGAGTCCCTGCTTCCCCAACAACCAGCCTCCAGGAGCTCCAAGCAGGAGGTAAGAACGAGGTCGTGTGTCTGTGTGTGACTGCCTGTGAGTGTGTGACTGTATGTGTGTGTGTGACTGTGTGTGTGTGACTGTGTGTGTGTGTGTGACTGTCTGTGTGTGTGACTGTGTGTGTGTGACTGACTGTGTGTGTGACTGTGTGTTTGTGACTGTCTGTGTGTGTGACTGTCTACCTGTGTGTGTGACTGTCTGTGTGTGTGTATGTGTGTGACTCTCTGTGTGTGTGTGTGACTGTCTGCCTGTGTGTGACTGTCTGTGTGCGTGACTGTGTGTGACTGTCTGCCTGTTTGTGACTGTCTGTGTGACTGTCTACCTGTGTGTGTGGCTGTGTGTGTGTGTGTGTGAGACTGTCTGTGTGTGTGACTATCTGTGTGTGTGTGACTGTCTACCTGTGTGTATGACTGTGTGACTATGTGTGTGACTGTGTGTGTGTGTGTGTGACTGTCTGTGTTTAACTGTCTGCCTGTGTGTGTGACTGCCTGTGTGTGACTGTCTGCCTGTGTGTGTGTGAATGTCTGCCTGTGAGTGTGTGACTGTCTGCCTGTGTGTGTGTGTGTGAGTGTGTGGCTGTCTGCCTGTGTATGTGGCTGTCTGCCTGTGTGTTTGACTGTCTGCCTGTGTGTGTGTGTGGCTGTCTGCCTGTCTCTGTATGTGTGGATGTTTGCCTCGGTGTCAGTGACTGTCTGCCTCTGTGTGTGTGCGCGCACCTGCTAGTGAGGGAGCCTCTGTGTGTGTGTGCCTGCTAGTGAGTTTGTGTGTGTGTGTGTGTGCCTGCTAGTGAGTGAGCTTGTATGTGTGTCAGTGAGCTTGTCTGTAGGGATCATATGTGTGTGTGTGTTAGTGAGCTTGTCTGTAAGGAGCATGGGTGTGTCGGAGCCTGTCTGTGGTGAGTATGTGTGTACAGTGAGCTTGTCTGTAGTAAGCATGAGTGTGATCGTGAGCTTGCCTGTAGTGACCATATGTGTGTCAGTGAGCTTGTCTGTAGTGAGCATGTGTGTGTCAGTGAGCTTGTCTGTAGTGAATCTGTGTGTTAGTGAGCTCTTCTGTAGGGAGCATGTGTGTGTCAATGGGCTTGTCTGTAGGGAGAGTGTGTGCGCATCAGTGAGCTTGTCTGTAGTGAGCGTGTGTGTGTGACAGTGAAATTGTCTGTAGTAAGCTTGTGTGTGTATCAAAGTTTGTCTGTACTAAATTTGTGTGTGTGCCAGTAACCTTGTCTGTGTGTGTCATTGAGATTTTCTGTCAATGAACCTATTTGTGTGCATCAGTAAGATTGTCTGTGTCTATGTGTGAGTATGCTTTACTGTATAATTTAATTACCCTAAAAGAACTAATATTTTGAATTAGAAGAAGAAATGTATCGAATATATATATATATACTGTTGCATCACCAGGGCTCCAGTATCCAGGCAATTGAAATAGTTGGCTGCACTCTCAGATTTCCTTAAAATGTAACTTTTATTGAAATTTTTAAGAGACGATCAATGTTTCAGTCCCTCTTGTAGACTTTCATCATGATCTTGATGCAAGTCCACAAGAGGGACTGAAACGTTGATCTTCTCTTAAATATTTCAATAAAAGTTGCATTTTAAGAAAATCCGAGAGTGCAGCCAACTATTTCAATTGCCTAGATATATATATAAAAACCCTACATAGCATAATGACTTATGGGGCTTTCATAGATTTTTTTCCTGGGCTGCTTCGTATCCCCAGTCCGGCCCTGCCCACCGCTCAGGGGTGGGGGTCAGGGGGGAGGACATTAGGTCCCCCCCCTTATTTTAATGTAGGGCCCCCACCCACCGCTCAGGGGGGAGAACATTAGGTCCCCCACTTATTCTAATATAGGGCCCCCACCCACCGCTCAGGGGTGGGGGGCCAGGAGGGAGGACATTAGGTCCCCCACTTATTCTAATTTAGGGCCCCCACCCACCGCTCAGGACCCCCCCCCGTATTAGTATTTAGGGCCCCCACCCCCCACTCAGGGGTGGGGAGGACATTAGGTTCCCCCCCTTTTTATTGTAGGACCCCCACCTGCCGTTCGGGGGGGAGGCCAGGGGGGCAATAGGTCCCTCCTTCAGGTTAGAAGCCCCCACTCACAGTATAGCGAGTAGGGACATAATTTACTAATACTAAGTAATCTTTACTTAGTATTAGTAAATTTGTCTGAAAGACCAATTTAAGTCTTTCAGCCTTTTAGTAGATAGCTCCCTAATTAGGGAGTTATCTACTTATTCATTCCTGTCATTACGCTGACTGGCTAAGTAACTTACATTTTATATGAATGTATGTTACTTGATTGTTGAAGTGTTGCAAATGCTTACAGCTGAATCCTGGCTATGTTTGTATACTTTTTATTTAAAATTGTATACAGTGTAACATTCTTCTTCTTCCACTGGGTAAGTATATTAGTTTTTAGGCAATACTGTACTTCGGCAATTCGACACTTCGGAAATTCGTTAATTTCGGGACTTCAACCATTCGGCAATTCATCTATTCGGAAGTACCCGAATGTCCGAATTTCCCGAAATTCGTCCAAATTCACATTTGGACCGAAACGAATTGCACATGTCTAAAAACCAATATAGCATGTTGTGGTAGTTATGGTGCCGGGTATGTCCTGGTACCCTTTTATTTGTGAATGTTTTGACAACTTGCCAGGGGATTGCTGGCACTAGTCATCATCTCCTGTGCAACCGGGAAGCTCTTGCACTGAGCTAGCCAGGCAGTGCAGGATTTAGCTAGGTGGAGCATATAAAAGCTTCATCTAGGAGCTTCTGGCTCTACTGAAGGCTGCAGACAGTGCCTTGCAGACCCCAGTCCACCCATTTCACCTTTTGTAGAGATCTTGCTTTTGCTCCCATCCAATCGCAATAAATGTATACAATAGTGCGTTCTAATTAATAC